GCCCGGTTCCCCCACCGCCCGAGCTCCGGCGCGGCCGCACCGCCACCTCCCGGGCATCCCGGGGGGCTCCGTGTGCCGCCAGCTGCCGCGCTCACTGCATCCATTCTCTTTATTCCCTGCACACTCGGGCTCCCTGCACTTCCCGGGAAAGGTATTCACGTGTAATGATTTTATTAAATCTTATAATTCTCCTTTTCTGCCTCTCACCCTAAAGACAAACGCCCCGGGGTGAGCGTGGTTTCTCCGGGCGATGCTGGCTTGTCCATCTGTCTGAAGCAATTACTGCAGCCTCCCCGGGGATTATTTTTCTGCCCAGGTGTTGACATTTTTCCCCAGCTGGGTGTCAAGCCGTACCTGCGGGGGAGGTTTGGGAGCAGCAGAAGCCTGAGGAGAGAGCGCCCTGGCTTAATGAGGTGTTGCAAGACAGCACAGCTAAATCCAGCATTACACGGGCCAACTTCCCAGCTTAATTAGAAACCTGCATCTCCTGCTCATGCATTAATTCACTTTATGACTTGAGTGACAGCCCAGCCTCTCACAGGGAAGGTGAACACTGTGTTTAAGAAGAGTGTGGGTGTTTTTGGCTGTCCACATCCCCCTGTCTTGCCCAGCCTTGTGCTTGCCATGGGAATATTGTGCTGGGCCCACCAGAGCAGCTGAGCCAGGCAGAGGTTGGGTCCCTCTCTTGGCCATGAGGAGCAGCTGGGACCTGCAGGATTTGCAGAATCCACCTTTCCCCTCTGTTTCCTTGGGAAGCAGCTCTGAAGGGCCGTGGGGAAGGTGCAAGGGCCTGGCACACGCTCCTTCCCAGCTCTGGCTGCAGCATTCCCTGTGTGCCTGGGAGCACAGCACCACACAGCTGCTACCAGTGCTGGGGACAAGGCTTGGGAAACAGCAAGTGCAGAAGTTTGGGAGTGCAGTAATTAGTGGCTAATTGCTGCAGCAGAAATATGCAAGGCAGAGTGCCTTGTATTCCTTCCTCCATGTGGGATGGCTGATCCTGGGTTTGCTGGAGCAGGGAGCACTCGTGTCCTGTCCCTGTCCTTGATGGCAGGATGGGACAAGGGGGGAATGCTTTAAGATGAAGGATGGTAGATTCAATTTGATATTAGAGATAAATTCTTCCCCGTGGGGGTGGTGAGGCCCTGGCACAGGTTTTGCAGAGGAGCTGTGGATGCTCTGGGTGGAGCATGGCAGTTCTGGTGATGTTCTCAGCCCTGGCACAGGTTTTGCAGAGGAGCTGTGGATGCTCTGGGTGGAGCATGGCAGTTCTGGTGATGTTCTCAGCTGCTCTTGAGCTGCCCTGGAGCTGCCTGGGAGATGTGCATTGTGCCAGCAGTGGAGAAAGAGCTTCACAGGGTTTGGGAGCCACAAAGGGGCCTCAGTGGTGTTTTTAGAGCCCCATTTAACCAGACACGAGGCAGTGGGAGGATTCCCTCTGGGAATGGGTGTGATGCTCTGCCTCCCTTGTGCAGCCCCTTGCTGTTGTGCATTGCACCCTCACACCCATCACTGCCCCATCCTCACCAGGACAGCCTCAAGGTGCCCAGAATTACTTGTGAACAGCTTGTAGAAGAGACATGTTTACTTAATAAATAAATACAAATAACATATGGCAGGTACTAGCATGAAATACACACTATTGATATTGTGAGGGAGGCCAAGGTCTGAGGATGGAGCTTTGCCTGGTCCAGCTTAACATGCCCAGCTGGCACTTACCAGGCTGGCCCTGGGTAGCAGGACTGGTGCTGCAATCTGGAATTGCTCGAGGGCATGTCAGAAGCCACACACCTGGATGGATAAATACATTAACACACAGCAAGTACCTGGGGAGGTTTTGCCTTAGAATGCCTGGGGACACAAATGGGAACCGGCATGATCCTTGGGCACATTTCTGAGTGCCTGCCCAGGGCAGGTCCTGGGAGCTGCAGCGTGGTCATGGCACATGTGGGCACACGGCTGAGGGTCATGGCACACGGCTGAGGGTCATGGCACACAGCTGAGGGTCATGGCACACGGCTGAGGGTCATGGCACACGTGGGCACATGGCTGAGGGCAGGGGGAGATGGGGCCCCCCGACCTTGGGAGGATGTCAGGGCTCGTCCCCTCATCTCTGCAAAGCTTCGTGCAGAACAAAGGGGCTTTGGCTAGATTTGGCAAAGCCTTGACCTAAAGCTCGGAGCTCTGCTGAGCACTAAGGAGGCAGCAGCAGTCGGGATTTGGGATTTGGGGCCATCTCTGAGCCTCGGGGCCGGGTCTCAGTCGGCTGAGACGGGCAGTGGCAGGAAGAGGATCGCCTTCTGGCCGTAGTGAGTCCGCGGGCCCAGCTTGCTGTTCCCGTTCTTCTTCAGCCCCACAAACCAGTTCTTGTCCGCGTGCAGTTTGGAGACGTAGGTGTTGTAATGGTTTTCTTCGAGCCTTTCCAGGAACAGACACTCCTCACCCAGTAACTGCTGGAAGAGAGCCCAGGGAAGGGCAGTGAGCTGAGGGCACGGAGCTGCTCCTGACGTGACAATCCCAGCCCAGCTCTCCCCTCTAAGATGCCATCCAGACCTGCCTCTGAGATTCCCACACCCCAGTAAAGCGCTAATTTAAACTGTGGTGTGGCTGGCCTTGATTTACTCCCCTGGGCCACTCCTGTAGCAAGGTGTCTGTGACCTGGGAATTGTAATTGGTTTTAATTTTAAACCAGCCCCGTGCTCCATGAGCTGCTCTTGGCCCTGGCTCCTGCTCTGGCCCTGAGCTGTGTGGTGGCAGCTGCAGGCTCAGAGCACAGAACCAGAATGGTTTGGGTTGGAAAGGACCTTAAGGAGCTCCAGCTTGGGCAGGAACACCTACACCAGGTGGCAGCTGCCAGGGGGCTGCAGAGCAGCTGCTGCTCCAGGTACAAAACACATCTCTTGAGTGTCAGGTAGGAAATACAATATTTGTCAGAGGCAGGGCAGCAAATGGCATGATTTGGTAATTTATTTACATCCCCCCCAAATAAAGCCAGATGCAGAGTGGCCGTGCCAGAATGACAAACAGAGCCTAATTATTGCCTGTGCTTTGCATTAGCGAGCTGTGAGGTTTGAGCAGCCCTGCAGCCCTCGGATGGGCGATCCCACGGGATCCTGGCGCTTACCGAGCCGTAGAGCAGCCCCTTGGTGTCCATGGCCAGGTACTGCCCCGACTGCGTGCTCCTGATGTGCACCACCCCCACGCTCTCCGCGCTCAGCTGCAGCTGAACTGGCAGGAAAAATAAAACAACAACAGCAGTGAAAGGAAAATAGGAAAAGGAGGGGAAAAAGAGCGGTCAGGAAGGTTACTGGGGTATTTGGTTGAAGTCTGGCTTATAAAGAGTTTATAGGAAACAGTACAGTGTGTAATAAAAGTGTCTCCTTGTACCCTCTTCTTCAAAGAAATCCCACAGCCATCCTTTAGGAACCAAAAACCAATTTTCCCCTTATTTTACATCAAAGGAAGGGCAGCCTTTTGGTTACGATGCTGGAATGGGACACAGGAGATTGGGGTTTTAATTCTGGCTCTAATTTACAAATTTCTCATGTGGTTTGACAAGACACTTAAGGAGTGACATATGAAGAGGTATTTTGAGAGCTAAGCCAGGGATGGGCAGCCTGCAGCTGCCTGCACTGCAAACCCCTGATCCAAAGCCTCTCTTCCAGCTGTCTGCTGCAGCTGCCTTGGTCTGGTGTGTTGTAGGTGGACAGTGGGGAAATAGAAAAGGCTGTGCCTGCAGTCACAGTGACTTGCAAATTCCAGCTCTTCCATCTTGTTCCCATCTCTTAGGCAGCTTTTTTCCCTAAGATTTATAACAGCAATATTTAGGTTGGTTGGAATGAAGCATGAACGGATGTCTCTGCTCCAGCTCCTTCCTTCCTGTTTATACTTAATTTATTTATCCTTATTTAGATGAGGTAAAAGGCAATGTTACCTCTTGGCCTGGTGGAACACCCATTCCAGTGAAATCTTTGCTGTAATGGTTCACATTCTTCATTTTTTGGCATTTCCTGCTCAGTAAATGATAGTTAATTAGGAAATTGTGTGGGTGCAGGTTTGCAGGAATGCTTGGCCCCTGTGCATGCCTGCTTTAGGCTGGGAATGTGCACTGGGAAAGCCACAGCCCACCTGCATTCCCTGAGGTGCTGCAGAGCTGGGACCTGGCTGAGGAGCAAAGGGAGAAAAGGGAAATGGGATGAAATGATGATACTGTGCCAAAACTGTCCCTGAGGGAGGGGACTGAGGGACCCTCCTGCTGCCAGTGGGGATGTTGAGATTTTTGGCCCCAGAGGGAGGGAGAACAGTGGGTCCAGAGGAAGGAGCTTGTGCACTAAATTCTTACAGGTTCTCTTACAGGTCTGTACCCACATTTCCTTCCATGAAGGAATGGGATGAAAAGGGGAAAAGGAGGCTTTTTGTAGAGATGAGCATGAGAACCTGCAGTGTCCAGATAAGTTTTCTTTCCATTCCTTGGTACGAGCTTGGGATGCCCACCTAAAGGATGTGGGAACTGGATCCTGACATAGGGCTGAACAAAGCCTTAGAGAGAGTGACTCCTTCTGCTCTTCTTAGAGATCCTCCCTGATTCTGAGGCCATTGAAGAGAAGAATTCTTGACATTTATCTGGAAGAAAATGCACATGGGCACTGGCAGCTGGCAGAGCACCGGTGCAGTGGGTGTCCCCACTGTCCCAATGAGCCGTGGGTGTTTCTGTGTCTTGTCCCTCCCTGGGGCTGGCAGGAGCGTGTCCCAGCTGGGTGACAATATCCCACAGTGCCAGCCGTGGGCTGGGCTGCTCCTCTGGCACACCAGGGAGCGATTCTGAGCAGCTCCATCATTTTCCAGGCGCAGGGGCAGGACCGTGGGCAGCCGTGGGTGCTCAGGGCAGGGTGCCTGTCATCAGGGCTGCTCTGCTGGCACAGAGCCCTTCAGGAGTTTCCTCTGTAAATATTAGTATATTCCTATAGCCCAGTTTAGCAGAGCATTTACAGGAGGTTCCTTTCTGGCAGAGGTTTGCAAACACGTGGCCAGCAGCCAGGGAGGAGTGAGCGTGCCGGGGTGCAGGACCTGCCTGCACCACTCCAAGGTGGTGGATTCGCTTTTCCAGAGGGAAAAGGACCGGGCTGTGTGACAGGACAGCATCCATGCTGTGAGACAACAGCCTGCCACAGGAGTGGGTGCTCATGTCCTGGGTAGCTCCCCATGTCCCCGGAGGTGCCTTCTTAATCCTGACCTCCCCTTCTGACTCCAGCAAAGCCTCTGGAAAATGCTGCAGGGACCCTGCCTGAGCTCATACCACCTCTCCTGGCGTGTTTGTGAGCCCAGCTCTGTCTCCTGCAGATCCTTTGGGTCATCATCCAGCCTTTCCCAGGAGTTTGAGGGTTATGGGCCAGGTTTATTCCTGGCTGGAGGCTGGAGCAGCAAACTGAGTTTATCCAGCCTCAGGGTGGATCTTCAGCTCATCTTCATCCATCCCCCAGCACGGCCTGGTGCCGGGGAGACAGAGTTTGTAACTAAAACTCGGCTCTAAACTGCCTGACATGAACGCAACAACAGCGAGAGGAAAGGTTAAGTTTGGGGGAGAAGCCACATGTGTGTTTGCGGTTTAAAGAAAATAAAAGTCCTTTTCTTAGCACTTTGTAAGGCTGGCTTGGCTCCTCCCAGCCCTTCCTTGCAGCGAGGCAGGAGCCCGGCAGGTCCTGCTCCCATTCCAGAAAATGTTCGGGGTAAGAAGAGCCCAGCCCCTGCAGGAGCCCTGCTTTGTGGCCTGTCCACCTCTCCTGGGCAGCGGCTGAAGAAAAACCCTCGGGGCAGTTTTTGGTCACACAAAAAGCGCCAGGTTCCCAAAGGTTCCTTGGGAGGATGAGGCGGGGGCTGCAGGAGCAGCTGCTCCCGGCAGAGATCCCGGTGTCCCGGAGCCAGCAGGGTCGGGATGGGACAGCAGAGGGGACACCTGGCCAGGGTGACCGGGAAATGGCTGTGGAGCACGGCTGGCAGAGCAAAGAGAGCACACAATTCCATGTGAGTGTGGGGGCTGCTCCCTGCGTGACCCAGCCCTGCCGGCTCCCCTCTGCTGCCCCGGGGTGAAGCCCAGAGATATCTATTTATAAACACCGGAGACATCTATTTATAAACCTCTATTTATAAACCTCTATTTATAAACCTCTATTTATAAACCTCTATTTATAAACCTCTATTTATAAACTCTCTATTTATAAACCTCTACCCTTGCACAGCCCACCCCTCTCAGCTCCCCGGCTCCCCAGGTGTGCCGGCCCCGGGAGCGGTGCTGCAGCACTGGGCTCGCTCCGGGTGGCTTTTCCCCAGCTCCCCCCTCCCCAGGGCTGTGCTCAGGCCAAGGAGGGTCCCGAGAAGGGAAGAAGGGCTTTGCTCACTGTGCTGGTCGCTGCGGTCCCTGGTGCCATCCACGGTGCCGTCGGGGAGGATGCGCAGGAAATGCCCCCCGTTGCTGCAGTACAGCAGTTTGGGTTTCTTGTAGTTGCCCGAGGGGAGGTCGAATTTTTCCGTCAGGGCGCTGAAGGTGGAGATTTCCCCCTCGGCCATCCCGCAGGCTGCAAGAGAGGCGAGGGCAGGGCTGGCACCGAGTGCTGGGCACACTGTGCTGTGCGGGATTTAAAGGCAGGGAGGGATCCCCGGGGTCCCGGGCAGGTGATTCACGGCTCTGGCACTGCCCGAGGTGATGCTCCCCCAGCGTGGGAGGCTGCGGGGGGCTGTCTCCTCTCCGCCCGGGGCTGGGCTGGAGGGACTCCGTCCTTTTAATTTTATCGCAGTGAATTCTGTTTTTCTTCTCCTTTCTATTGACGTACGCGCTAAAATTACACACTCAGAAAACCGGTTTGAAAAACAGCCGGTGTCTGATTGGAACCCACAAGAGGCGGGAAGGGAGCCCAGGTAAAACTCTCTCTCCACTATTATAACTCTCAAACACAATTATGACCAGGAATTGCAACACCCACCGTGTGTCAGGTAGTAAATATTGCTCATCTCTTGGCACTCTGCAGCTCACCTGGCCCAGGAACACGCATGGAAAAGGTCAGGACACAAGTTAGATGTGCTGGGAGATGAGCAGGGGCAGGAGCTTTCACTGCCTGGGCTGAGCAGATTTACCCAGACACTGATCAATGTGGAAAATGGGAATTTTGAGTCTAGGATATGCCATGAATCAACCAGCAGCATCTCAGTGCCTAAAGGGGCTGGGCAGGCCCTGGCACAGGTGCCCAGAGCAGCTGGGGCTGTCCCTGGACCCCTGGCAGTGCCCAAGGCCAGGCTGGACACGGGGGCTTGGAGCAAGCTGGTCTAATGAAAGATCATATTGAAGCCTCATTCTGCTGGAGACTGTGGTCACAACCCATGTTTAAGCAGATGCTGTGCCAAAACCTGAAGGCATCACCAGACCAATCAAAGAAAATGCAGTGGATGCTGGAGGCTGAGAAGTGCTGTCACAGAAGTGCATCAGGAGATGCCACAGGTGGGGGCCAGAGTCCCACAGATATTCCAGGTGCAGTCATGTTTTTAGTCTAGAAACTACATTTAAAATCTCCCATTAATTCTTTCTGTCTTTCATACACAGAGTTCTGTTGTGCTTGGAGAGAAGTGGATTTATGAACAGAAAAAGACATGGCACAGAATAAACCTAGATACAGGAAATTGCTTTAAATGTCATGTATTCCCACAGCTATATTATGGAAAATATTTTATAGTCACTGTTTATATGTGTTTGTAGATTGTAAAAATGTCTCTTTAGCACTGAGTGGTGCTACTGGTACATTGGGACGGAGCCAGGACCAGACTGTGTGGGTTTGCTGTGCTGCTTGGAGTGCCCTGGGAGATACTGAGGGTGGCAGCTCTGCAGCACACGTGTGCATACACAGAGAATCGCTAAACATTTGGCTCTGAACTCTTTAGCATTTAAAAAATACGCAAAAGCAGCTGCAAGAGAGGGGAGCTACTCCTGGAAATGGATCCCAGATGCCTGCAGAGAGTAAAAACCTCTGGAAGTTGGATTGCTAAAAGCAGAACCCCTGGAGATAAAGGCTGTGGCTGTTGGGGGGAGCAGCCCCAGCACTGCACCAGCTCTGCTTCATACACAGACTTCAGCCCAGGCTCTCAGACACCCCATTTGACACAGATTTGGGGATTTTGGGAAGTGCTTTCTGGAGTCACAACATAGGCCAGCCCCCATCTATTGCCATGAGGTTGGAGATGCAGCCTCAGAAGCTCCAGGTGATACCAAATACAGACTCAAAATCTTTTTTAAACACCACTGTCAGGTGAAATTATTTCTTGGAGTGTCTGCTCCCTACATTTCTTTTTCTCTCAAGACATCACACTTTCCATGCAGCTCAGTTTCCTTGCCAAGTGCCAGCCTTCCTCTGAAGGAAAGCCCCAGGTCACCCAGGGTGGCACACAGGTCTCTGCCCCTCCTCTGAGCTTCAACCAAGCACTGGGTAATTTCCTAGAACCAAAGCTTTTCTTGAGCCTTTATCTGAGGGTAAAGGCACCCAGAAGTGTCCTGGGTTGATGATGGATGGTACTGGGAAGCAAACACCCCAGAGCCAAGAGCTCTGAGCAGGATCTCAGCAAACCCTGCAGGCAGCAGGGGTGAGGAGCAGGCTGGATTCTACCCACACCTCAAGGTCTGAGGGCATCTCCAGGCAGCTTGACCAGAGCACCCCAACAGGAAACAGCTTCTTCATCATCACTTACTTCCTCTAGGTTATTTTTGCTGTTTTTAGGAAGGCTGCAGTGCTTGCCAGCTGCCCTGGCTGCCCCAGCAAAGCTCACTGAACACTTTTCCACTCCTCTCGCCTCCCCGTGCTAAATACTATCTCTGTTCTCAGACTTTATGGCCATGGAGTTGTTCCTCTACAAACACCACCACTCATGACCCTACCATTATACTTTTGGCAGGAACACGTTAGGTTTTTAGGGGAATTAAAACACAAGTGAGAGAACCTGAACCAAAGACAACATGAAGGGCCTTATTTCTTTGGGTAGAAGCCCAACAATGCTATTAAATAGCTCAAAGCAGAGCAGAAAGCTCTCTCAAATATGCAAAGCTGAGAGACACCACACACCAGTGGTTATTTGGTGTCCCATGGAGAAAGGAAAATGTTCCGAGGGGAGATTGCTGTGAGAGGGGAACAGCTGCTGCTGACCCCGCCAGGACAGCGATTTGGAGCTGAGCTGGAGTCTCTTTGCCCAGGGGCTGCTGGGTTTGTGGCTCCTCTTTCCTCCAGCTCTGTGTAACAGCCTTGCTGTGCTGCCTGAGAGAAAACCCCAGCGAGGATGAATCCCTGGGAGCAGCACCTGGATATTCCCAGCTCCATCTGCAGCGTGGGGAGCTGCACCCTGCTCCTTCTCCTGGATGGAGATGTCAGCAGCCCAAAGGATCAGAAATCATTTCTGAAGGTAAAAAAAAAGACTTAGGGAGTGAGCTAAACGCAAATGTTGATTTGATCCAGGTCCTGCTGAGCCGTGGTGGCTGAGCTGAGCTGCTCCCCACAGCTCGGAGGGAGAGGAGCCCGGCGCGGGCCGCAATAGCTGCGAAATTCTGAGAAGTTTGGGGTCGCTTCCAAACTTTATCACTGGCCAAACCAGTGGCTTTGATGTGAAATCCCAAACTCTGCAAGCATCTGACTCTGAGCATGGAGGGCTGGGGGTGCTGCCAATGTCAGACGTGTGAGCTCTGGAATAACAGCACCCGCGGGGAGCCCTGGAAGGAGCGGGGACCTCTCCTCTCTGCTCTACTCCCTCTCTGCACTACACAGCTCTCGTTTGCATGACAAAGGTGGTGTTGATGGAAATGTGGGGGATTCCTAATGGTCCAAAAGGGTTTTGCATGGTCAGAATTGCCAGGAACTTTTGTGGTTTTTTATGGGTCATGTGGCACAAATTTAGTGGCCAGCAAGGGCTCAAGCCAGAGGTAGCCAGGCTGAGATGGGCCTTTTTCCTTTAGGGATTAAGTACCTGGGTGCTACATGGAGGAAAGCAGAAGTATCTCACCTCCTGGGTTAAAACCAGATTGGATTGATTCAAATACACCAAAATTGTCCTTGGCTTTGGACACAATCTTTTATGTAGGGTTGGAAAGAAATGTTCTACGTGGCCTCTGACTGGCCATGGTGATGAAAAGTGCAGTTAATCACAATTGTCATTTAGATGATCAGCTAAAGATCACACAGAGAACTCCAGAGAGATGAGAAGCTGCTAAACCCAGGAGTCTCCTGAGGTTTTGTCCAACTCTAGTTAATGAGATCAGTGTCTCCTGAGCCTGGCTCTGGTGAGTTCAGTGGAAACACTCCAGTTGGTTTCACTTTGGAAAGTGTTATTTTTCTCCATTAAAGCAGAAATCCTGTTTCTTCCTGAGGACGTGTGACTCAGCTGGGGTCAGACAGCATCACCTCCTGATGGGCTCCCTTCCCATTCCCACTGCTGACTGCAGCCACCTGAACAGAGCAGCCACTTCCCAGGCAGCTCAGACACTCCACATGGGAATGGAAAACTCAACAGGTAGAATATTTTTAAGGAATTCAGGCTCTGAATTGCCTTTCCTGGGGGTTCCTGTGGGTTTTAGGATGATCTGAGATCTACCCAGGCATGTGGAACAAACATCTCAGATAAACAGGGATTTTATTCATCATGAGCTTTGGAGAACCATTTCATGGGATGGATTTCCTCATGCAGGGAAGGATTAGAGACCAGGCAGAGGTTTCCTCATGCTCTGGTTGCTGCAGGAGCAGCTCAGTGGGGCTGGGGTTATCATCAGCATGGGCAGCCTGCAAGGGCTGGCTCTCCTCCCAAGGGCTGGCAGTGCAAGGCACAGCTCGAATTCCTTGGGCTGTACATTCTCTCAGAAGGATTTAATAAATGATTAGGCAAAGCATACATAAATATGGAATAGATCACTCTGTGAGTACCAGTGGAATGCATTGGCTCGTTTCTAGTCTTGTTTATGGCCAGGTGATTTTATCTCTAGCGATGTGATTAGCTGCTTAATGAAATATTTATCAGGTGGGTTTTACCCTTTGCAAGTGGAATATGTTGTGCCACCAAAAGTATCAAAATCAGTTTAACCAATGCCTGCTGTCATCATTGCCTGCTCTGCACCAGAAAAGAGCCATTCCACTCAGCCACACTGGATTTGTGGCAGGTAGAACACAGGGGCTGTAAAGCTGAAACTTCAGCAGTTTCCTGAGGGGGTGTCACTAATTGCTGCTGGCCAACACAGCAGCACCACGGGAGGGACAGGGTTAACCCATCCCAGCCCTCAGGGATGCCCAAGGGATGTCCTGGAGCCAGCTGTGGCTTCTTCAGGGCTTCAGAGCCCGGTTGACCCGAGCTGCTGCTCCCCCCTGGGACAGCCCTACAACATCCCACCAAACCGGCCGTGTCCGTGGGGAGACAGGAAAACCAAGAGATCTCCACTTTCTAATTTCCTTCCCGCCTCTCCCACCTCCCTCCCACCCCTTGCCACCCGGTGATTAACTTAATTGCGGTTCCAGCTCCAGGAGCAAACCCAGAGCAGGAGCTTTGCCAGGAAGGTCTTGCC